CAACAAGGCTCACAAAGACAAAGAACCAAGGGTAACCCATTTAAAAAGGATCGAAAGCTCCTAAGGCACAAAGAGCACAGAAGAGACGGAAACAAAGCAAATCAACTTAAGATGAGAACTTTTTGACACCAAGGCCCACAAGAAGACACAAAGAGCACAGAAGAGAGGGAAACAAAGCAAACCATTAGGGAACTGGGCCATTTAGAAGAACCGCGCCCGCTCGCTTCTCGCTTTCCGTTGCTTGCCGGACTGGTTTGCAGATTGATCAACTGATCAACCATAGTCATAGTCATAGATGGTCATAGTCATGGTCCAAATGATTGAGAGGTGCTACTGCTCCGGCTCAACATGGCTCGACTGTCGGTGCAGGCCATGCCAGACTGCCGCCACGAGTTCGTCAAGCGTGGGCTTGCTGCTTCTTTAGACTGGCCTCCTCCCGTGCGCCGAAGGTGCTTGGCACCGGTCTCAGTTCGAACAGCTTAGAGGCTTAGAGAATGCAGAATGCAGGCTTTTCCTGCAGTAAGGCATGCAGGCACATAGCTGTGCACATGCAGCCTTTTCTCTTCCATAGCAATCTTTGAAGCTGGCACAGCTGGCCGAGGTTTTGATGGGCCAGCTCATGGAGAAGGCAGAGTCTCGTGAAATGCACCTGAATTCTTGAGAAAAACACGACGTCAAGCGATTTTTGAGATGTTCTGAGGTTTAGTCAGCGAGGATAGGTAGATGAGGTAGATTGGAGTCAAACTGGTCCATGCTCTTTTCCTCTCCTTGCCAGGGCATCCTCACGAAGGAAGATTTTCAATGGGGAGTTATACACCTTCTTGGACAGCTGGAGGACACTGTGCCCGCACAGTCGCACATGCTGGGCTGACAAGCCCACTAACCTAATAGCGATGGCCTCCAACCTAGTAGTGATGGACCTAATAGTGGCTATATACCATTGTATATACGATCACGAGCGTATTGCCCAACCACAGGTCGAAGCAACTATGTGAGTCCCCACATGCGATCCTGTTTGCTTGATTCATATGCTCCTGTGTCGAAGTAATTACTGGAATCTCAAGAAGACCTTCGAGCAGTCTGCAGTTACATTTAGTGGTTGGACTTCAATTTTGACCGGCCATCAATTTGTCTGGCAGGATCTGACTCTGGATTGCCCTGATGTTGCCAAAATAGCAGCCGAACATCTTCGCAGCCTTCTTTCTAAGGAGCGATTGCGTGGCCCCATCAACAGGGACTTCGTTGTACCAACTTGCATGCTGAAGGGTTCTGTTCATCATGGTATGGACAAAATTGCCGGCGTGTCTTGCTCTAGAAAAATAGATACATTAACCTACTCAACTGAAACTTTGTCAAATGCTAGTCGCTGCTTGCCCAGCGCTTGAAGAGACAGATGCTGCAGAGCCTGAGGACCTTGTGACAACCAATTTTGCCGCAGTCTCATCAAACATATCAAACAAATTGTGGCAAGAGTGACTCTATATCGTGAATCGGCTCTCAGATTGCCGTAGATCACCCGCCATAGTCACATGCCCAAGTGTGGACTTGCTGGCCTTAGATTCAGGTGCTCCGGTGCAAGATGCTGAACATCGGCGGGGAAGCTGGACTAAAGGTCCTAGCCCGAATCTCAGCCCCAAAACGCTGCCACCTGCAATTAAGGCGGCAAGGTGTCTCCGTGGCATGTTCGAGTACCCGCCCCTGACCTTTTCTTCTACACTGAAGACCCTATCATCAACTTGATCGAACCACCACGGGGTCGTTTTTGCATTATAACTTTGTGCTTGGGCGATGGGAACAGATGCTCAGTGTATCAAAGCAGCCTTTTGCTTGACATGCATTGATGCTGCAAAACCCTCGAAGTATCAGGAAGGCCACTACTAGGACGCTACTAGGAGCAAAGGGCATCGCTACTAGCAACAAGGACGCTACTAGGGGCTCCTGGCCTTACTACTAGGAGCAAGGACGTTACTACTAGGAGCTTTTTTCCGTCCAGAAAGTTGACTCTCAGGGCGACGCCTTAGAGCCTGCTTCAGCTGCTCCAGTGAATCTCAGCAAGGTGGGGGGGGCTCAGATGGGCTCGTTGCTCGTTCCCTCGGACCGTCGGAGAACCGCAAACTGCTCCGTGCCAGGTGGCGAAAGCCATTGAAGCAAGACATCAGGATACAGACAAGGATTCTCAGGACGAGCGACTATGAGGTGGTTTTCTGTTAGTAGATTATGTGACATATTATGTGTGCTTTGCGAGGCCGATTGACAGTTTGCCAGCTGCAGTTGGCAAACTTTTGGAACAGCTTTGTCTATGATATGAGGGATATGAATCAACCGATTGCAGTAGATTAGATAAAAGAGTCAGCCCTTGCACAGCGTAGCTGTTGGAAGGTTTGCAAATGGATCCACCCGAAGCACCCAGCATGTGTTTGTTGACCATGTCATCCGCAAGTGTTTCGGTTGAATATACATCTGTTCGGGGTAGAGCTTCAAGAGATTCTGGAGTGAACATCCTACTTGCACGGAAGGGTCAGACTTGGTCAGACCAACTGGACATCCTGCCTGGTTCGCTCTTGGATCGGGCAGGAACAGTCCAAAGATGTAAAGCCTGAAGAGTCCAAGGAATCGGAATCTCCTTCGAAGGAGGCGGACCCACCTGAAGCGGATTTCCACCGATCGATCGTGTCAAAACAAGGGACCCACAGGGGGACCCGGGCTTGAGATTCCTCGTTTTGATACCCAGCACGAGTCCCTCTACATTTTTGGAGGTGAGTATGGGCGATCAATGTGAGTAGATTCTGTTGGTGTCCAACTCATAGTTGGCTTTGGCGAGAGATTGCACGAGCCAGGTGAAGCAGAATGGTGATTCTAAGGAGTCCAAAGAAGATGGAGACTCAAAGGATCCTGGTGATGCAAAGGTGCCCAGGGTTCTATCATGTGTATGCCCTTGCTCTGGGCCCAAGGAAGGAGTCTGCTACTAGCCAAAGTCTATCCCTCCCGCCCCTCTCTCCCTTTTGTTTTTCCATCCTCTCCCTCCTTCCTCTCCCTCCCCCCTTCCCTTTTGATGTTATCTTTCTTTTCTTTTCTTCTCTCTCTCTCTCTCTTCCTTTGATACCGCAGACAAAGTCAAAATTTATGCAATCATCAATGCCAAGAACTCTGCTAAACTGGCGATGTGTGGGCAGCAGCATTTCTTTCCATGCATTTCTTGCAGTCTTTAGTGCTGCATAGAGCAATCAATATCGGCCTTGACAAGCGATCAATGTCCACGGATGGCCCATCAATGTCTGCACCCTCGTGGCCCACCTCGTGGCCCCGCCTTCCCTTTTGTCGCCTCCAGGCGGGCGTCAACGGCGTGAAAGCCGGTGGCCGACTGTCGCGCGGCATCTCGCTTCGACCCGGCGGTGGTCTCAGGCTCGAGTGGGCTGGGACCCAACGTGGAAACTCTGGAAAGACGTGGAAAGACAGAAGACAAGAGCAGATGCAATTGACTTTTTTCATCTTTTTTCCCTTTCATTTGGTGTTCGCTTGGCGAAGACAAGAACGTCTTGCAAGACGTAGTTACGTGAAACCCATCATCGTGTGTGACATCCATTTCCTGATGGCTTCTTCAGAAGATCCGTACTTGCCTTTGGGAAGCTTTAACATGATGGGACAGAACAGGCTTTTGGTCACCTTGAAACCCTGGTAGCTCGGATTAGCTCGGCATCCCTGTCCAATTGGCAAATTTTGGAGGTCAACCACAGTCACAGGGTTTAATCTATGGCCGCCACTTCACAGGTGTAGCACATGCATTTAATACTATTTTATATTTCCTTTCCAACCCCCCAATAGATTACAAAAAGAACACCAAACTTGTTCAAATGGATGCTTTCTCTTTCATTGAACATGATGGCATCGCCGCGGGACTTGGCATCGCCACGCACTGCGCTGATCCCGGTGCCGAGACTTGGCGAAGTCCGAAGCGCCAGGCCGGGCGGAGGCCTCACTGGAGGCCTCTCTGGAAACGGCCTCTCCCTGCGGCCAGGCGGTGGAGGCGCAAAACGAAGGAAACGAAGGACGAAACGAAGGAACTACAACAACATGAAATATGAAATCGTTCGAGAGATCGAAGGACGTTTGCAGACGACCTAACAGCCAGTGGATTGTTCATGATTTTTCAATGATTCAATGATTTATCCATACTTTTCCCAGTGCTGTCCCAAGACTTGCGCGACTCCCCCTAAAAGAGTGCCCCATCCGGGTGTCGCACTCCGGCGAGACACTGCAGGAGTGGCTCTGACGGCTCCGGTGCGAGAGTTGGGGAACTGAGAGTCGGTGGACGCGCGAAGGAGGTCGGAAGGAGGTCGGAAGGGTCCGCCCATCGAGTGGTCCAGATGGAAAAGTCTCCGAATTCATTATGATTCATTTTCAAGAATAATTCATCAAACATTCATGCCAATTTCTTGGAATGCCAGTTTACATGGGCTCTTATGTAATCTTATGTCTCTTTGCACCAGAGCTGTAATTCCTTTCTGTCCTGCCCTCGGATTTCTTCGGTGTGGTTGGCAGCTCGGCTTTGGTGGATCATCCCCAACTGGATGGATGGATTTCTCTTCGCTGATTGAAGTTGGTAGCTGGCAACAACAGTGGTAAATCAATCAGAAGTGTTTGGATGGTCCAACCACTGGCAGGCCAAAATTGGGCTTGTGGTGTGTGTGGTTTTCGGCTGGAATGATCACACTGCAACCCTGAGGTCCGCAACCACAACCTCGGGGAATTCAGGCTATCCAAAGGAGGCGTTTGGGTGGGACATGATCATATCCTGAGTGTGTGTGGGTATATTCATAACTAAAAAAATGTATACACAAAGAATATAAAGTATGTTGGTTGACGCTAGGAGTGACGCCAGAACGCTTGTCGTTCAGTCGTTCAGTCCAAAAGATGTATGCTCGGTCGGAGCTTGCGCAGGCACCTGTGAAGAAGACCCCACCAGCGCCAGTCCAGAAGGCTTGGCTTGCTGGAAGTATGCTAAAAGCACAGTCTGTACCCATGCCTGTACACAACCAATAACACAGTCTACAACTCTGCAAATACGTGACTCCCAAAATGGTTTACCGTGAATATTGGGGGCAAATTGCTTCAGTTTTTGATCGTTTTTGCTTCGTGGAGGACGATTGGCGTCAAGATGCTGCTGAACATCAGAACGCCAAGCAGCCAGAGGTCTCAGTGTCCGATCCGTTGTCGAATTACACTTACACAACTTGGAATCATGGTGATGGCATGTGTTTCTTTTGTATATGACTTATTATCTGTTTATTGATTGAACATGATACTGCAAAGATACTCATGATTTTAGCATCCAATAGTCAAGTTGCTGTCACAACGTCCATTGATGTTTGTGCGTCTGACAGATTAACACAGTTTCAAATGTTTCGAAGCTGCTGTACTGAGGAAGATGCAGAAGGGAGACAAAGGCCGGGTGTCTATTAGCCACCCAAGGAAGCAGCCACAAAACAGCGTGCGAAGCGCGCTATTCATCTTCCTACAGATTGGATTCTGCTGCATTAAGAACAACAGCTTTGGGACTAATGATCGCACAGTTACCCTCATAATATGAATGTCATTCCAGGCTTCACTTCCTCGGTTTAGGATACTTAAGAATGCAACTTCTGCAGTGATTGATGTGTCTCACCCCAAATATGTTTTTTGGTTGTCCACCAACTACTTTGTGTCTTCTTTAGATGATCATTATTTTGTCATCTGTGTAGATGTGCGATCCATGGAATTAAACCTGAACCCAACCTCCCATTTGCGTACGCATCCTATTCCATTCTTCTTGTATACAGTCGAAGGGAATGACAAGACATGGTTTGAAGACCACAATATAATGATGCAGCATTTTGCTTTGCATCAACCATGCTTCAACCCGATTGAACATCAGATTGCACCACCTTGAGGCATTTTGTGATTGGCAGCATAAGACTTGTGCGGACAGGTGGAAAGAATTCGCAAGCTGGCAAGCGGTCAGCCCGGCACATGTTGGATTCACTGTGAATCATGAGAGGCTGCAGACTAATGGGCGGAAATCAGTAGAGGTGCGAGGAGATTGAATTTGGCAGGCCTGGCCGTGATGGGAGAGGCGGGCGGCGGCTTGGAAAAGGGCTTGAACCAAGGGATGTCATGTGGACGCATACCGTCAGGGCGCTTGGACGAGGACGACGAGGACCTCCAACTCCAAGTCTCCGAGAACAGCTGGGCTGCACAACAAGCTAAGCGGCACGAGCACATACGTGGTACCAACGAGGCCAGACGAGACCGGACCGGTGATGGCGGATGAGACCATAGTTTTGCACCACAGATTTCTGGAGACTTGAGGAGCAAGCCATCCCTTTGCTTTGTTTTTTGCTTTGTTTGCTTCCCCTTCAGAAGAGCTCCCACTGTGGGAGCCACAAGCGGCTTGTGGAAGATGGACCTTGTGCGCCATGCTGCAAGGTGTCAGCCGAAGAGGAGGACGACAAGGAGCATGAGGGAGGAATCACACTGAATTGCCGGCAGTGGAGTTTTTGAATATACCCTCCCTCAAACAATCATAGTCTTCCAGGGGCCTATGTTCGACTTCCATGATTGTTTCAGGGAGTGTAGTGCTTTTTGATGTTAATTGCATCTCTTTCACAAGAATGTCTCACTTGTTAACCTACAGGCCTACAGGAGCTACATTATATATCACAACTTCAGAGACATCGTTCTTTGTGTCGAGCAGTCGGGCCAGGAAATCGCTCGGCGAATGAAGCGGAACACTTAACACCAGCTTCCGGAGTTTGGCTGTCATTGAACAGACGAGACTGCTCCAGCATTTTTCTGAACCCTCTTCTGGATACTCCCCCTTCTGCGCATTGCTTTGTGCCTTTACCGTCTTGCCAGCCTGAACTCCTGAACAGTTGCATTGCGCAGTGTGCAACCTGGTGTCTTCCAGTGCAATACTGAGGAGCATTCTGAACAAGCTGACTCTTGAAAAGTTTGATGATCTCACTAGGCAGACGCCCCAACATGCGCTCAGAAAGCTTGGCACCGCCAAATCCATTTAAAATGGACGCTTGGGTTTGGGGAATGGGGTTTGGGGAATGGAGGAGCAGGGGTTGTTTGAGCATGATCAAAGCACACGACCCAAAGCTTTCAATGTTGGGAGTGAAAAGTAGGAGATGCACGTGTAGATTTTTGGACTTGCGATGAAATGACGCCAGCTGCTCTGATGGGTCTTCCCTCACCTTCGCTTTCTCCCCAAATCTGCACTTCCATCACTCGTCGGTATATAGGCCAGTCTAGACTTATGTTTGCAGGCAGCTCTGCGAGTGTGGCATCTCGAAAGAGGCACACCTCAAGCCGCTCGGAGAGACGACACCATGTGTGAGACTGTTGGGGCACATGCGCAAGACGGATACCAGGTATGCAATGAGGCAATCACTTGTGGGGCATCAGCTTCTAAGAGTGTTCGAACCATAGACTTGACGGACTTGCCGTCCAAGTCCGGCTTTATGGGGTCGTTGGATGCCACAGCCGAGTCAGCCGAGGGACTTCAGGAACCAATGAGGATCTTGCACGGACAAGAAAGCATTGTGCAGAATCACCAACTTCTTGCAGAAGCGAGGCAGCTTACTATATATATATATAATATATATATAGCTACATCCAGCTGCTATCGGAACTCTTGTTGGCTTCCAGAAACACCTCTTTCACAAGCACAGCAACATGCTCACAATTAAATTACAACTGATCTATAGCATTTAACATCGTTGAACATCAACATGTGTAACCTTGTTTGCCAAGCCTGCCAAAAACCTGGCATCGAGTTATATATATATACTATATATGTATTATCTTGCCCTCAGTACTCGGGAACAGTCTGGTACTCCTTTGTGGACTTACGGGTGGATTCGATTTTCATTTTGTCAAAAAAGCAAAACTGCACATTACGGCCGCCCAGAAATCACCGGTAAACTGAAGCTCATTGGTCAAAAGTAACATGCAAAGAGCTGCTTAAGGGGTGTGACATCCCAGGAGTTTGGCCCACTCTTTTCAAAACAAGTTGCCATGGCAGCCTTGACCAAGGATCTTGATGACCGAGGTCTTCGAGAAGGTCGGAGGATCAAGGGGGATCAAGGGGGGAGGAGCAGGGGTGGTTGGATGTGCGAACGTCACGACTGGATCTTAGAGCAGGTTATGCAGGTTATGGCCTGTCAACCCGGCATACTTTCGGGAGAGATGGGCATGGCATGAGTGCTTGTACTTGGAGGGCAAGCGCGACATGACATGCAGCGAGCAACAGATTCAATGTAACTTACATTGTTGATCATTGTTGAAGGAAATGCACCTGTGGCTTTTTTGGCCAGCTTTTTGACGATAACCAGGATAAGGTTGACATGTGACACAAATGGTTGACAATGAGGTTAATTGAACGCCGGTATATGCAGAGGTAAGGTTTCAGGGTTGCTCAGCTTTTCAGCTGGTGGCAGTGGCATCCAAAGCTGAAACATGCATGGTGGAGTAAGCCCGTTTGATGGAGCAAAGCCTAGGGGAAGCTTGTCTTCAACTGCCCAATCTCTTGAGGCTACCACCCAGCACCATTTTATTGAGATGTACACCAACCTCTGCGTGCACTTCAACGACTGGTGCTCTGAACACCTGAAGGTGCCTTTGGTATCATCCATGCGGAATCCATGCGAGTACAATGCTTGAAGGTGCTTTGGTAGCTCAATGCTACCAGCTCAAGTCAATATTCTTGCGAGAGAGAGAGAGTGAGTGAGTGAGTGAGTGAGCGAGCGAGCGAGCATAGATGTGAACAAGCCACAGAAAGCTCAGACACAATAATCCCAAGCGTGCCAGCTGGCAGGTCGGAAAGTTCAAACCGGTCCTCCTTCAACAGTGCCAGGCAGCTGGTGATGAAGTCTTTTTCTAGCGTGGGTAAAGATAGTGGCTTGGCCATGCAACATGTGCTTAGAGCATATTTATATAGTTGTAATTTATAGTCATTTAGTCAAGTGCACTGATCGTGAAGAAACAGGTATTCAACAAACGTTGTTAGAGGTAATTGACAGGCCTGAAGGATTTCAGACAGTCTTTTTTGTTTTGCAGAATCCTTCTAGGAATCCTTTGAAGCCAATCTGAAAGATCCGCCAAAGGACCTATCCGACCAATGTCCCAGTTTTCGCTGACAGTTCAGATTGCATGCCATGGTGTTGGGAATAGCAGAGCAGCAGAACTTGAATTGTATGATGCCGGCCATTCTCCTCTCAACTCAAGCAACTCAAACGACGAAGGGTTTGAATTGTGCGCAGAGGCTTATATGTTTCATAGAAGCTTGGGATTGCAGGAGATGTCTCCGAAGAAAAAGGCAGCAGCCAGCCGTGAAGTCACCTCCTCGGGTGATTGTTACAAAGTTGACATGCAAGGAGAGGAGGACTTGTGATTCAGCCGAGCGACTCGTCCAAGGAATTGGAAGAGTACGAAGAAAAGAGACAGAGATATCGATTGCGGGTGGGGCTCTTATTCGTGATCTTGAGACCAAGCATACAAGCGAGATCAAGCGAGCAAAGGAACGGAGTGCTGTTTGCCGTTGTTTGCCTCTATCCTTCCCTTAAGCCGCTCAGGTGATGGGCAACATTCGGTTCGTAGGCCAACTGCTGGTGCAGAGGACACAGTCCAGGAATGTCTGTGTGGCAAGTCTGGGCGGTGCAATAGCCTCTCTTTCAGTGGCCTCTCTTCCAATGATGAGAAATCATGAGACATCTGAAACACCAAACACAAAACATGCCCGGTAGTTTATGTCATTGTCTGGCCTTGTTCTTTATTTTTTGTTTTGGAGCTCTTCCGAGGGAAATTGGGCACCACATGTACAGCAGGTATGAGACTTGCTGACTTGCTTTCGAATGTAAAGTTTGCAGGAGCAAATCTCTATCACCTTTTGGACAGGGTTTCTTTCCTTCTATAGCATGTCACATTCGGAGGAGGGTGGTTGGGTTCCAATGGACTAAAAGCTAACATTCCTGGAGACCTTTGAGGGACTTGCAAGCACAGGCCACACATAGGACCTTTTATTCGAAATGCCTTGACCTCCTCGTTTGTAAGCGGCTTGCAGGATGCTTGCATCAAAGTTCCTTATCCCTTGCGCACAGGACGGCTCACCGCTGACGTGGGGTTTTCATCCATGCTTCATGTTTGGGCCGGTGGAGGGCCTTCAGCACTGCCGACCACTGCTGTTTGGCGAATGTTCTTCAGGAGCTCCTCAGTGAGTACTCGCCTGGGTCTACCAGCTCGTTGGAAGCCTTGGCCGGGGCACCCTGAGATGGACTTCACAGTCATGCAATCAGGCCCAAATGTGTTTCTTCGGGACATGTAGATGCGCAGATAAGACATGATATGAAATGGTTGCAGGGCCTCTTTGCAAGGGGCCACACACAAAAACCATCCATCAAGTTCCACTGTTCCACATTAAATACTGCCACAGGTGGAACCCTGAGCGGAGTTCGATTCCAAACAATTGGCAAGTGGGGGCCCTCTCACACCCAGTGACCGTCCTCGTAATTCTGACATTGGAGCAGCGGCTTGCAGCTACAGTTTGAGGGCTGCAGGGACTGCAGGGAAAGTTTGTGATGGGATGGTGGGATATATGATATTACTAATATTACCCATTTATCCATGTTCATCCAGTCTTCTCAGGCCAGTCTTCTGACCATCACTGGCAGGGACCCACTCTTAGAATTCTGCCGATGAGCTTCCGCTTGAGGAGAGCTTGACACCTCGTTTCACATTTTGCAACAGACGGCGTCAAATGATTTTAACAAAGGTATTTGACAAGGAAGACTTCAAGTGCCAGTCTCAAATTATGGAAAGCTGAACTGCATTTGACTCGTCAATTTGACCAGAAACATCTATATACAAGCATGACCTTGTGGTTTGCAGGTACTACAAACAGCTCTGTGAAGTCTTCAAGAAAGTTGAAAAAATTACCAAGGACTCTCAGATCGTGTCAGATCGTATCCCAGCCTAGTGCGATGCCATTTCTTTTTTCCGTCTCCAAATCTTCGAGGACAAATCCGTGGAAAGTCGGACAAGGTTCCTGCTCCAGGCACGTCGCATAGCGACAGAATGCACGTTCCGGGCAATACCGCATTTCTTTCGATGCGTTTGCAGCGTTTCACGAGCAGCTCAAACTGATCGAAGTTGACATCCTGAACTCGTTAGCCCCATGAACGACACTCAACTTCAAAGGTTTGACACTTTCATGAGCTCATCCCTGCAATTGCAAGACCAGATTCTTCAACAAGACTTCAAATTCTCAAGGCTGGCTTAGACTGCTTTGACTGCTGTGTGCATGCCATGGTTCGCTTGTGGCTGGTGCTGGCATCAGCCAGAGCTACACTGCTGGCAGATGATGAGTGTGCCAGTGACAGTTGCGCTCTGCACGCTTTGCAGACGCGAACACTGAGAAAGCTCGAGCCTGTGAGTCCGGGACCAAAGCGATTTCCTTCCGAATTCAGGAGAGGTTCCTTGTCCTTTTGGAAGCAAAGAGCATGCGAACAGCGCAGTATCTGCGTAGCTCAGGTGATGACGTGCTGTTCGGCCACGAAGCTGATGTGGATGCAGCCCCTGTGGTGAGTGAATGGCTGGCGCCAGCGCTGGGTGCTTCGGAGAGCTTGGACGACACACTGTGAGCAGCTCAGCCTTTTTTGAGTTTCCGGCCATCGCTATTAGGTTGGAGGTCATCGCTAGTAGGTTGGAGGCCATTGCTTCTAGGTTCCAACTTCTCTCTTGGTATGCATATGGCGATGCGGGACACGAGTGCAATCAACTTCTGTTTGAAAAGGTTGGGAGCATCTCCGGAAGTCTCCTATTTGCCACCAAGTGGCTCGGCATCAGTATCATGACTTGCTTTGATGACTATGCTTTGACATGACTTGCGGGTGAGCAGCCAGCAGTTCTGCTGGTTTTCCACTGTTTTCCACTGTCGTGCTGGTTTTCCCAGGTTCGCCCACGAGCGATTTGAGAGTTCTCAAGAAAGGTGCCACCAGTCATGTTTGATGTTCGCACGAAATTGGAGTGTCGCTCCAGCTCTCTGATACTTATATATCAATATAAGAATAGTAAGACCAAGAGACACCAGATCCCACAAAATCTTACAGTTTCCTAGTTTCCTGTAACAGGATCCTATCATATCCTAGCTAGCCTTGACTCACTTTCGTGCTTTGGCCTTGGCAGAAAACAGCCTTTCTCCTCCAAGCACGGGGCCCCAGGAGGTGGTGACACCAGGGTGAGTGCTTGAGCCGACGCGCAAGGCAAAGCCACCCAGTACAACGGGGTGGCATGGCCTGAGATGGTGTTTCCGGGCACAGGCAAGCCGAAGCGAGCACCTACAGCATGGGACGGCAAAGTTTATTGGACTAAGAGATTCTGCTGCATTTGCCTCTGAGCGGTGAGGCGAGATGCACGTTTTTACCATTGGTGCCTCTTGGCATCAGTGACCGATGCTGCTGTTCCATGGCAATTACACAGTAGTTTCGGGGACATTGCAACCAAACAGGTTTGTTTCATAGGCATTTTGGACCGGACATGCTCTCGTTATCTCTCATTGGCATTTTTCCTTGGCCGAGGATTGGGGTGCCCCACTTAGAACCGTTTGTTGGTATGGCTGTTCGAATCTGTGATGGGCAGCATTCTTTGCTGAGGTGGTTTGCTTTGGGAGCAATATGGAGATGGCACGGGTTTACACGTGTTCCCCTTCATCAGGCCCTGTTGTCCACTTGCAGGCGTTCCATGTGAGGAATTGATTGGATGATCCGTTCAGCCTGTGAAATATCGAACCAACCATCGAAGGCCTTCCTGCAACATCAATGATATGAAGCAGTGCTTCAATGAGACCGGTGACTCAACTGCACCTTGCAACGAGGCGGGAGAAGTTCTCCGATGGGACGATGGGATGTGATGGGACCACGTTCACACATGCTCTAAAACATTCTAAAACCAATCGAAATTCGCACTTTGAATTTAGCGAAGCAAATAGGAGTGTCCTTGTTCCTAGTAGGCCAGGAGCCCCGATCGTAGCGTCCTTGCTCCTAGTAGCGATGCCAGGAGACCCTGATGGCTTCTTGTTCCTAGTAGCAAGGCCAGGAGCTACTATCATATGTGTGCCACAGACCCGCTATGATCTGCTTATTCAATAAGCAGATCTTGTTGAGGCCTGTGGCTATGTGGCTGGGGTGGACAACAATGCTCAAGTGGTGGTCGCTGAGCAGATGAAGAAGCGTGCCGCAAAGACCGAGCTGTTTGGGCAGGTTGACCTGATGCACGTAATCACCTGGACTACAAGATAGAAAGCAAAAGAGAGCACGTAAGGGCGCCTCTATTCAAGCGACCTTACCGTTAGTTATTCTTGGAAGAAGGCTGAACTTCAAGTAGCTTCACTTTGAAGCTCAACAGTAGCTGGGATCTGCAGGACAGGTGTGCAGTACTTCCTGAACGTGGGGGACAATTTCTATCCACAGGCTCATCCGCATGGGAAGGCTCTGCGTGGCTTTCCAACCGCGCGCCAGGGGATGAATACGGGCTGTGGCAGCGCCATGAGCCAAATCAAAGAAGCGACCAAAGTCCAATTCACAAAGGCCGGAGCTTGTGTTCTTTTCATCAGAATGACTGAGATCGGATCCAATCAGATTTCTGGGTACTGTCAGACAGAAAGACAAATGTATCAGACACATGTCTATCATAGCGGAGCCTCCGCTCCAGCCTCTGGAGAATCCCTTGTGTTTAGCATGTTTTGAGGCCTTTGACTGGGTTTATTCTGGGCCGTTGAGCGGGAAAGTTTGGTTGTCCGTGCTGGGGAATCACGACTATGGCCCCAGCCTCAATTGATCAGTGCACAGAACTGCCAGCTCAGGAAGTCGAGTCCAGATGAAGCACTGATCTGGGGACACTAGTTGCGCCGGGGAATGTTGCAGTGGCTGACAGCGTTCCTTTTGGTGCCATGATGTCGGCCTCCTGATGCCATGGGGCAGGAAATGAGAGTTCGGACGCAGGAAGTCCCAATTCCTTTTGCAATAGGATTCGATCCAACAGTTCCCAACAGAACTGCTTGCAAAACTGCTTGCTTCCTGTTTTTCGAGGTGCTCGTCAATTTGACTATGCCTGGGACCAGCAAGTGGCCTTCACCTGGGCAAGTGAATCTTGGCTCAGCTTGCAGAGCGTTGGTTTTCTGAGTCGATGGGGATCATGCAGCAGGCTGTGCAAGAAAATAGACTATCAACCAGCTGTTTGTTATGCGGAAACTGCCATGGTTTGCATTCCAATATAGCCTGACGTGAGCGCTCTCTGATTGATCATGATTTTGTCAACATCAACTTGTGTCCCCCGTGTCTTGGATGAACATCTTGGCATCTGAGGACAGGTGGGTCATGCCTGCGCTCTACTTTAGCCAGCATGTTCGATACCCTGCCCACTCCTTAATTAGATCTATGTGGACCATGGGCAGCCTCAACTTGATGTCAGCTATGATATCCTGGAGATCCACAGCTTCCCCCATCTCAAGCAGGTTTCGTGGCCTTCTAAGGATTTGGGTTTCGATGTGGATATTTTCATGCTGGACTCCAATGCCAGTCTCTCAGCTTTCGGTGAAACATGGTGAAACATCTCGACCTGTCGGGTGGAGACCTCATCCCACGCGGGTTCACGAGGTCATGGATGCTCATGGCCTCGATGAACGCCCTGGCTCCAACCTGTGTCATCGAAAGTACAACGTGCAGGAGCGATGCTTCCATGTGCTTCGTGGAAAGCCACCAGTTTGATGCAAAAACTCGTTTGTAGGATTTTAAACCCTTCCCTAATCATGAATCGCATCATGCTGGTAAATCTTGAATATTTGTATGGACTCTGCGAATCCTTCAGGCAGACTGCTCAGCCACCGGTGGACCAGCATCTGTGGAGCAGTGTGCACAATGGTTCTCGGATCTTTGGAACAGGCGGAACTCTGGTCGTTTGGCATTTGCACCAAGAAAGCAGTAGCTTCTTGTTACTAGTAGCGATGCCAGGAGCCCCTAGTAAGTAGCGTCCTTGCTCCTAGTAGTAAGGCCAGGAGCCCCTAGTAGCTTCTTGTTCTTGGGGATCATCAAAAAGATGACATGAAGTGCAATGGTAATTGTGTGACTGATTGTCTTGTGGTTTCTGAGCATTGGACATTGGAAATCATTCATCCAATCGAAGTCAGCCAACTCGCGAGTTGGCAGTTTCTGGAAGACCACCAGATCCTTACTTAGCAAAGTGTGCAATAGCCCGCCCCTGCAGGCAAGCGAGTTGGATGGAGGACCCAACTTCTGTGTTGATTTGCTGTACTTTCTCGGTGACTCACTCCCCTCTCCTCAGTTTTCTCAAGAATTCACCGATCGAAAAACATGCCTTCTTCTAGACAGATGTACGAATTTGCAGCAGCTTAGAGGAACTAGTCAGGTGAATGACCGACTGTAGTTTCCAGACGGGGTCACAGTTCAGCTATGCAGGCTCTTAACACTTTCAGCTTTTCAAGCGCCACCATGTGGCGTTGCCATTCATTGCACCCCATGCAAGTTTCATGGTGCACCAAGATCAGATCCTCCTTTGACGAGGAGAAGTTGAACACTTCCACGGCTGATTGGCAGGTGATCTTGTGGGAAGATGAGTGTTGCTTTATGGTGCTTATGCTGGTACTGGTGATTGTGATCCTGGGCAGTTCAAGACGTCCACAAACTAAGCAGCCAGATGAGATGCCCGAGGGTGACGCATGGCTTGGGGTTTGACAAGTGTTGCTTGCTGTCCAGATTGCCGTCACCCACTTTCCTTGCGGTCACAAGGCGGCAGAAACGGCTGTAACACGACGTCACATGCAAGACATTCCTGATGTGTCCCGATTCTTGATCACCTGTTTCATCCGGCTTTGGACACCTGAGAAGACGAACGAATCCGTGTCTTTCGACATCAATTTGAGTCGTCGAGACGCTCGAGACGGCGTCATCGTCGTTCGCCAGCTGCCGTGGTATTCGATGCTCCGCTCCATGGGCCTTGACTTGCTGGTGACGGGACACATCCATGAGCAGTCAGGGAGCCCGGGCAGGGCGAAATTCCGAGGGGACCCGGACAATACGGCGGTGATGTGATGATCAATATTCTGCAATCAAAGATTGTATTCCAACTTGAGCTTTCAGGCAACTTCAATTTCTGCCGGGTCAACTGTATGGAGCTTAGTGGCAGAATTTAGTCAAGCTGTGGAGGGAGCACTTGGTATAATAATATATTGTAACCCGTTCGGGGTGTACTGGCCTAGTACACTACACTCACGCAAAGACACACACACATGCACATACAGAAATTGGGAGTCCCAGTTCACCACTGGTTTGTAGCGGAAACAGGGTTGAATCCAGCCTTCCATGTCTTCAGGATGCATGTGTTTCTGGCAATCTTTCCCAAGTCATCCAGCCGTTGGTTCCTAGGACCTGCCTCGTAACTGGCGGAGGTGGCGGAATTACCTCCGAAAGGCACCGAAGGGCCTCTCTGGGGGAATCAGCAGTTATGCCATTGCGAGGAGCCCGCAGGGTGATGATAGCCGAGAGTATGGCCAGCTTCTCAGTTTTGCTCGTGCTTCCCTATGTAAGTAATGAATCAATATTATGAGTATATATGAGTCACATAAAGAAACCTAAGGATCACCAAGTTTTATTCTTTTTTGAATAACTATTTTTGACCCAAGAAACCAACTTCTGAGAGGAACATTCGATCCTTTTCATGTGGACAGGATTCTTTGACTTGACCCTCTCAAAGTCTGCCATCAAGCTGGACTTGGTGAACCACTTGGGGAATGTGGTGCTGAGCCACTCCATCCCACCCTTTTCTGGACATGTAGGACTGCTGATTTGGTGTTGTGCAGTGCCTTGCAGGGTGTCGTGAGTTGGCCAGGAGCTCCTGAAGTCCCTCCAGTTGCAGAGAAGCCCCAAGTGCCGATTGAGAAAACTGAGAAGAGCCAAAGTGGTCAAAGTAGCACGGTCGGCGCTGCATGTAGCAGCTCGGCACTCAGAGACTTTGTTGGACAGCATGTGTCGATTTCCAAAGAAGACTGCCACAAAAACACCCAGAAACGTGCGTGTTTGTAGGAACTTTTGCCAGGCCAACACTACATCAAGTGAAGCCAAGAAGAAGAATGGGAGTAACAGTCAAACCGGTCAAACTCGTTGAACGGTTGAACTTCGGTTGAACAATGTTGAACTTGTTGAACATAATGTGAAGTGATTTTATTCTATATACTGGGCAGTGCAATTTTCTGGTCAATCTTGCAGAAGGTTTGCGATTGCGCAAAGGAGAGACTGGTTTGCTTGTGCACCATCCAATTGCGACTCAGCATCTATTCTTCTACTCCCAGCACGCAAGCTAATGTTGTTAAGAGCTCCAGTAATTGTTCAGCAAGTGGTGTATCGAGGCAATCCAAAATGTGCTGGCTTGGATGGCGATTGCTGCCCAACAGCTGGAGGCAAATCATGGTGAAACCATCGGCACTTTTGAATTTCGAAATTCCAATGTGCTTGCTTTGGCTTGCTTGGTGGTTTTCTTGGACCGGCACGTGTTTAGCATTGTTTAGCCATCGCCTGCACGCAGACCATGCGTTTTCCCCTTCCGTACTTGTTTCGCCTCCGCGTGTTTTGCAGCAGCCAGGAGCCATGTTGGGATGTTGTCAGGGCCTCAGGCTGAGATAACCAGAGCAGTGCGCAAGACCAGCGTTGAACGTGGCATGTGTGTGATTGATCGTATTCTCATGCATTCTCACTGACTTTAGAGAAGCGAGAGAAGCATCCCTTTCAGAAAGCCAACTCATTGATGGTCGTCTCGGTCGCTTGCTGCTCGTGACCATTTGGTTGCTGCAACGACCCTTTGGCCGAGGGGATCCGCTGTCCAAACATCACAGTTCGTGCAAACCAGATACATCGACTGTGGGATCAGTCTATATTCCTCCACGCTTGATCTTTAAGATGTCAAAAGTAGGATTGGTCCAAACCGGAGCTACGGCATTTTCGCGACTCAGGTGAAAGCGCATAATTTTGATGGACCCTTTTGAGCCGACGTGTTTGTTAATGCAAGGACTTTCGATTCCAAAACTTTTTAGTACAGCCAAAGAGCTGAGTCAAGAGCTCACACAATCTCACACAGTCTATGTGTGAGCAAAGTGAAGAGCAGCATGAGATCGACTCCGCTGTGTCACAAGTAGAAAGTGAGCTGTCTACTACACGTTATTTCAGATTGAAACGGACATGTTACTGCAATGTTGTATTTGTTTTCCGTTCACCCAGGGAGGAATGCATCGAGACATGTCAAGCACAGTCCTTTGCAAGCATCAAACTATGTCTTCAAAGGGCACATCGCTACTAGGAGCAAAGGGCATCGCTACTAGGAGCAAGGACGCTACTAGAGTACTAGAGGCTCCTGGTCTTGCTAGTAACAAGGATGCTAGAAGCTCCAGGAGGTTAGGAACATCAGCTTGTCAGTTTGTCTGAGCTTGTCTGATCGGCCAGGATGTCTTGGACCTACGTGCTTCTGGCTGGGAAGACAACAAAGTTGCCACATCCTTATTTTCAGACTTCCTAAGGTAAGGGATGGTATACTCTCATATATACTCATGTAATAACTCATATATGTATTTACATGTATTATGTGTAATTACGAAGTGTGGGGAGTGTCTTCTCTTTTTGGGATGCCGATGGGTTTCTATGCACGCAAGATTTGTATCAGGTTGGTGAATGATTGTGCAGCTGTAAGGCCCATAGCCAAGTGTCGGTCCCAAGGCCACCAAAAAGATGGAAGCGCCAAGGAAGCTTGGTGACTTCGAGGGCAGAGGCGAGTGGAGCGAGCTAAGAGAATCGGCCGAAGGTAAGGCACTTGGATGAAGAACGGTACTATTCCTTTGTCCTCAAAATTATTGGCTGTGCCAACCATGCAGTCTTGAGTTCAGTCCCAGCCCTCACTGGCGGTAAGTACGAACACTTTGCAGAGCAGAGTGATGCAGTGATACCGTTCGAGTTGTAGTTTTGATGTTCGTTTTGACACACGTAAATGTGGCATTAAACGGCATTATGGTTCTCACCTTCTCATCGGCACAAGTGCTTGTAGCCTCCAAGAAGGTGAGAGGCGAAATCTTCCGGACATGTCCGTTTTCGTCTATCCCCTAACCGTGCGCTTCGCCAACGACCATGCGCACAAGTGCCTGCAGGAAGCTAGATGCGCAAGGGGCCACTTGTGTGGTTTCTTTGAGCCAGGAATATTTTCCCACTGAAGATTTGCATGAAATCGGCAGTGCATTACAGACGACAGACGTCTTCACAACGGTCGGTCTTTGGACACCGGGACACCGGGATGGACCCAACAACCGGACAGGAAGTATAATAATAGCAATTGGTTTTCCACATCATCAAGGTCAATTCAGAGTTATGATGTTTTTGTTTCTTGCCGATGGCAGCCTTTTTTGCTGGAAAAGCGTGCCGTTCATTGTAGACTCCGTGATGGTGCTGCAGGCAACAGCGTGTACAGAATTGGATGTAGCTAATGGCTACGTAGAATGTTCCAACTGTTTGGGGGCATGAAGACCATCTTCAGCCAAATCAGGCCATTTTGGCCGGGCCCCGCAAATTTCTGCAACACATCGAGCCAAGTTGAGCCAAGTGTCATGTAACAAGTCATTCCAGTGACTTGTTTGCTGATTGCTTATGTCCTGTGTTGCTGTGCTTTGAGAGCAGTGTAAGCCGCAGAAAGAGCGCTACAGGAGCTTGGACGTGCCAAAAGTTTGTCAAAAAGTCAGCACCACAGTTACTCAGTTGGAGAATCGATGGCCTGCCCGGCGGATAGTACGAAACCAACTTTTATTTTTTTTGGGGGGTAGGCCGCTAGTAGAGGGAGGTTAGCTAGAGAGTCGGTAGCTAGCAGAAGAGGTATTTTGCTAGTAGCTTAAGTAGCTTTAGCTACTACTTAGGCAGGATGCAGGATAGCTCACGCTTCTTCAAGGAAGCTCCCCCCGCCGCCCTAAAGGCGGCGGGGGAAGCTTGTTGAAGAAGCGCTCGCTCTATTCATTTGCTTCCTAGATTTGTAGGGAAACTTATATAACTTAAGTCTTCATTTTCCTTGCGCTGTGGAGGCATCTTATCATTTTGCCTTTGGCTCGCAGATCTGGATGCAAGAATATGATACGTGGGTTTCACGGTGATCTTGAGACCTCTTCATTTGTGGGAGCGAACAATTGCTTTTGCAATCAACATTGCTTTTGCCGAGTTTGATTTACAAAGGAGAAATGTCTGATGTGCTGAGCTAGTGTCATTAGCCAATGCCATCAGCTGCAACATTGGCATGGAACAGGAGCTTTTGGATTTTGGCTTACACACAGGCTCATTAATTACATTCCTATCATTCCACTCTACCCTTTGTGCAAATCTGATGGATTTGGATGGATTTGATAGATCTGATGGTGTCCTCGGTCATGATATTCACTGCAACACCATGTTTGTGCAGCTGGAACAGCCTCGGATCATGCACTTTCGGCAGCAGAGAATTCCGAAGCCATGAAGGCCTCGGAAGTCATGCCAGGGTTGACTGCCGTCTACTGGAGCCAATCGCTGACTGCAGAGGTGTTGGGGTTTTAAACATGTTGAAGTCAGAGGAACAAGGAGCCTGGGAGATGATGCGACGAAACAAGAGGTACATGTAGGCACAATTTGCCGAGGGTTCACCAGCGGGTACAGAGGGTACGCGATTGTATGTGATTATGCACTCGTTAAGCTTGAGAACATCCGCAGAACACATCTGCAGGGATTGGCTCTCCGTCCACTTGAAACAGCGGAAGGAACGTGAAGGAACCGATGATTTGGTACGGCCCAACCGGCGGCCCACCGTCTCTGAGAAGGCCGAGAAGGCCTTGCCTCCTGGGCGGCAAGTGGGGGACCTCAGGGACGTTACTAGAGTCAAGCCATGCCATGCATTAATTATGTAGAGCAAAGAAGACATCCAGTTTAGCACCACTCTCTAGCTGTCCACAAAACCACAAAGTCCCTTTAGCAGCTTTGGGCTGTTGTCAACATGCTGAGGTTGAGTACTACAGCCAAACGTCCTCAAGGTCACAGGGCCTTTGCACCGTCGGATGTCGCTTTGCCAAGAGGGCCTGATGTCAAAGGTCCATTGGTATGGAAAAATGCTGCTTTCTGTCTCCACGCATCAAAGAGAGCGAAGCAAAATTCATTCCACTCTGATACAGTACGTACCTAGAACGTGTCATAGCGATGTAGAGTATTGCAATGCAGTGTGCATACATATACAATATAATTCGATATAATATATACAATAATACAATATAATACAATATATGAATGGTCAAATCACTGTAAGCAGGCAGGCTGCTTCTCACCAGTTTGTGGAACCCCCTGCGTCAGACATCTAGAGCTCAAGCACTGAAGTTTCAAGGGCCACAACCATGGTTGCCACCGTGGATGAGGTCAATGAAGAAGCAATTCGACTTTTGAAAGATGCCAAGGATGTGCAGCAGTTCTGTGATGCTGCCAGTCGTTTGGGAGAGTCGGCCAAAGAGGTGCCAGAGGCCATCCAATGTGTTCTCTTGCGTTTAGTGGCAAGGCTAGCGAAGGTGCTGCGCTTACTTTGCAGTTCGCCAGGGCCGATGCTGTTGAATGCCGCAAGTGACTGGGCCCAGCAGGTCCAAAAGTCACCAGAGCATGGCCTGGAGACTTTGCTGGAAGTTCGGGATGTGGGCCTTGCAGAGGGTGTAATATCCAGTGCAGATGTGAGGACGGGTGTGAGCTTGCTGCTTCCAAAGATGTTGCAGGCAGGGCAACGAATATGTAATTTTCTGGCCATCAAGGGAAAAGGGGGCCTGGAGACGATCGAACTGTCTGACTCGCAGAACTCCGTGGGCGCGGATGCAGCTGGCCAAGCTGCAAGTTCCATTGCCCAAACCCGGAAGAGACCGCGGCCGCAGCCTGCGCAGCCCGCACAGCCTGTACAGCCTCCGGCTGCGCAGGTGGCACAAGTGGCTCCATCAGTGGACATCTTCTCAGAGCCCTTGCTGAGTGACCTTCCCAAACAGCCCAGTCAGCCAGTGAAGAAAGTCCGCTCTGCAGCTCCGGTGAGCTCCGATGGAGATTCCTTTGTTGCCAAGGATGGCCCAGCTCGGCCACGTCGAGGCTATAATGTTTGGACTGAGGCAGAAGAGCAGCGCCTCATCGCGGGATACAAGAAATATGGGAAGGACTGGAAGATGATCCGAGCAAACTGCGGCTTGGAGCACCGGGACAACGTTCAGATCAAGGACAAGTGGCGAGTTCTGCAGAAGAACGGCACGATGTCTGGAAATACAACTTAGAGGTACGCCATGAGGTACCACTCTGCCCGATCACAGTTTCACAGCCAAAAGCACACATCTCTTTGCTCCGTGCGGGGGCCAAAAAGAGGGCTCCGGGGACTCGGGGACCACGTCTGCTGCTCGTGTGTTTTCGTTCGTTGGAGCGAGCGCGAGACTCCGGAGCTCCGGAGGTGGAGACCTGCATTGGTCTTGGGCTTTGACCGCTCATCAGGTCCGGTCGTTGGGACGTGCGTTGGTTCAGGTGATTCTTGATGAATTTCCATTGCCATCTCAGTACTGGTCACTAGTCACAGACAGGTCACTCAGGTTGCTTGAGATTCAAAAACTTGCTTGCTCACTCAGAGGTACATACCAGTTGGACATCCATCCAGCTGCAGATCCTCGCAAGGTACGTCCAGTGGCCGAGAATGCAGGAGCCACCTCACGTTCACGATTTGAAGTTGTGTCTTCTTGTCTGCTGGCCGTTTCAGCGGCATTTTGTGCAGTCAAAACTCAACAGCTTTTGCAAGGAATTCATGCATGTTGATAGATGTTGTACATCGTGGTACCAAATTGTCCTGTGTCGTTGTCCAGATTTGCTTCTGTTTGTGCCCCTCCGCACCACACAACCGCCTGCCAAACTCAAGACACTCAGGAGACACCTTGGAAGACAAGAATAGCGACCAGGCAATGCGCCTTGAACTTCAGGGTTGTTATCAAACCATGACACCACGACAGACATATGTACGTACAGTGTTACAGTGTGTATATCTATATTATATATAGAGTTATATATATATATCTACAGCATGAACCAACCGCAGAAGTGGAGAAAGAAGGGTCAATGAATGAACCAGTCCTTGGCTAAAGATGTGAGGGCACTTGAGGAAGGGCGCGGCAAGGTGATGGATGGTTCTAGGTGATTTCAACTCAACTTTGAGATTCTAGCCGAAATTGCTTTCCGTATTATATATATATATCCTCACAGCCACAAACGTCGACGTCACTTACCACAAGAACTTCTCAGCATGTCCTGTGGAGACGGTTAGGTTTGGGTAGTACACACGCCGTTGAATGCCTGTATATTGTGAGCTAGTAACAGCTAGTAGCGTCCTTGTTCCTAGTAGGGATGCCCTTTGCTACCAGTAGCGATGCCCTGGCTCCTAGTAGCTTATTGTGAGCCCACTTTCATAGCTTAGCTGGGGGGGGGCGGTCAACCGGCCGCCCACAAACGTCGAGTGCACCGTGGTTCCAAACGAGTGTTCCCCGAGATTTTGTTTATTTTGGTTTCAATTGGTGCTTCGAGTTCATTCCGAGAGGGTCTATGCTAGAATAGAGGCCTCATAGAAAAACCATGGCCGAGAGGATTTTTACGATTCAAGATTTCGAGTGATTTTTCTGGAACTCTGTCGAGCTAGCTTCGAGTAGCGAACGAGAGGATTGTGGGATGACCTGTTCATGCCTAGAGTGATCTCACCCGTTGGATTCAGGCTACAGACGGCGGTGTGTCTGCGCCACGTGCAACCTTTAAAGAATAGGTTTCTGTAACCAACATAGTCTATGCCCCCCAGTCATCAAATTGCTAGAATATGGACAGCAAAACCAACTTGTGGACACATCTTACAAAAGATTGTCAACTGCGTGACCTTTTGACACTCCACTCCATGGCTGATGATGATGATGACACTGCCGCCGCTTGGGATGCTGGCGGAGTACAAGCCTTCAGCCAGTGGGAAGAGGTGGATTGCGCTGTGCCGTCAGACCAAACTACACATCAGTGCTGCTGGCTGGAAACTTCGGTAGCCACAAAACTGTTCACAACCAAGCGGTTGCGTTCCTTGTCATAATTACACGCCACATTGAACCTCACAGTCCATCTGTGCCATGACCCATTCATTTTCAGCGAAAGACATGACACACAGTGACAGGGCACAGCTTAATAAGCAATATATTGGTTTTCATTTTTCGCTTCCTGTGGACGTTCTAAGGCGATCTGAAGCCCAAGCTAGAGGAGATCCGGTGGCAAATCAACGAGTTGCACAGAGAAATCTGGAGCGGCTATGAAGTGCCTGAAGTGGTCAAACTTGGTTCAGAGAATCAACGACAGACACTTAGCATCCACAGACTTACCAAAAAAAACCTCAAAATCTACTCAAACAAGAAACTCAGGTTTCAAGGGAAAACAACGCCTCAAATTAATCTCGTATTAGACTCAGTCAAACATAACTCAAGGTAAAAGCAAGCGACTACTTGAATAACAACTGTTTTGAGCATGATTTGAGTCTACTGTGAGTCTGATTTGAGTATCGAATATTTTTGTTTGATGTTTATTGAGATGTATAAGAAAAAAACTCATATCAGACTCAATGTTGACTCAAACCATAATCAAATTGGTGTTTGAATCGAGTTTTCTTGCTTATTCTGAAAGCCCACCGCCACTGCCTTGCCCCCTGATTCTTCAGGCAGATTGAAAACAGGTCACCAATAACTACGCCATTGTTACAGGCACGATCTGTAGTATAGCAGGCTTTCACCTCGCCCAAATCGGGCTCACACCAGACTCAAGACACACACACATCACTCTCGACCACTTTCCTAGGCGATGGGTGCCCACTTCATGGATGACAGTTGCTCTGGCTTGGGGAATGAGTAAGAGCAAAAGGCCAGTTGAAGCGAGAAAACTTTCCTACAACACCTTCCACAGGTTTTGTGAGTGCGCAGCACTGAACTCATTGAATATCTGGTTTCACAGAAGCTCGCTTTGCAATTTCTTTGTTTGCCATCAAGTTATTGTCACGGCGCTAGTATCATTGATCAAGATTGAAACCAAAACACTCACAACAACTCATGCCGGGGAATGAACAAGATAAGGTTAAAACATAGTCAAATTTACTGGTCACTGGTTGGCTGAGGAGTCGGCGAAGGACAACATCGCATTACGATCGACGAGAGCGCTTCCAGCACGGAGCTCAATCGCGAGTTCTTGGCGGACGAAGCTTTGCAAGCTGCATGGGCGTCAGACATCAACTCGTTACAAAAGCCGTGGGTTAGGTCACCTCAAGCAAGGCCCCACTTGGCAGACCTGATTGCATTTCTCCTCGATGTGTCGAGCTCGGATCCGTCTCGGCAATCGCAATTCGAGAGACTTGTGTTGGCTGCCAAGACTAGATTGCGGCCTTTTGTTTTCTCTGCAATCGCTCAAGCCGCCAATCTCAATTTTCTAGCGATTTTGTTTGTTGCTTGTGTTCGGGTTTTCTGTGTGTTGCTCGTGATTGGACACACACACACACGGTTTCTTTCTGTTTTTTTTCACTGAGCAAAACTTTCCAGTCCAGAGTCCCACTAAGTCTTTTTTTCATTTCAATTCACCTTCAGAATCTGGTTGAAGCTGGAAATGGGTTTTAATTTGAAGAAATGTCCGATTTTGTTTGCTGTCAGGTAGCTCATGCGTTCAATCGGAAAGCGTTGGATATTCTTGCTACCGATTCCGACGCCGAAGCGCAATTCAGACGCACACGGTCCAAGATTCACACCTCACAGCGGTTCATGCAACGATGGCACAGCCACCGATTGCAGCTTGGTTTTGAGAAGTCGACATGGTGACACCCCCGAAAACATACTCAACTGGTCTGAGCATGAACCCGCTCCAAATAAATATCGAACGACTGGAACAATCAAGGTGGTGCAGCAAAACTGCTCAGAGAAATAATTATCTCGATCCACACATCGAATTCCTGACTTGTAAAGAAAATAGCCAAGGTGGACGCTGACATCAAAAGCTGTCGAACTGCTTCAGACTGGCAAGGAGATCCGTTCTTCAAATGTGGGCATTATATATTTTTTTGGCTGTTTCATTCGCCACACAACATCTGACACAACAATACCCCGTCCCAGCCTATCCACCCATCCCATCCACCCGTGCGCAACGTGTTTTGACATTTAAGACGGTCACACTGCCGTCAGGAGAAGAAGTGGGCTGCGGCGTTGCTCAGACTGCTGGGTGGAGGGAAAGGACGTGTGAACATTACCATGTGTGCAACGAGGCACTGCGTGATTGAGCTGCAAAAAGCATGTTGAACAGTGGTTCATATCGGGGAGAACTGAATTCATGAGGATTACCTTTAGTCTAGGAGCTGTCCTTTGTCCGACCAGTAGTCTGCGGCTGCTTGCTGCAAACATCTAAATTTTGGCAAGACTGATGAAAGAGCTTCTGCTTCAGATTTAGCCGGCTGCATTGCAGGACTAACACCGGATCAAAACCCACTAGTCTTCATACAACTGACTGAATCAGGCAGTTTTCACATATAATATATATTAGTGTAATTCATATATATATATATATATGGGTTGATGCTCCTCACCGCCAAGTCTCCATTGAGTCCACTTGCAATGCATCCGTGACACACAGCCGAAAGCTCAGGAAGTCTACCTGGCGAAAGCGCGGGATGAGTTTGAGGTTGAACCACACCTCCAGGCATGTTGGTCGTTCCAGGGCTCTCCACTTCAGTTCTATGTGTTTTGCCAAAAGCTGCCACGAGAACAAAGAGGTTGCATTCAGTTTGAGTCCAATGTGAGTGATCCCTAAGTTGGGTTTGAGAACATTTCTTTCACCTTGCAGGTGTCAATAGACGGTTCCGTCTGTCCAATGTGAGTGGTGTCCGAGTTGAGTTTGAGAACATTTCTTTGACCTCGCAGGTGTCAATAGACGGCTCCAACTGTCAAGGAGTTCCAACAGAACTTTGCCTGATATACTCTCAGAGTCATTTTGTCAGAAGGGGCAAGGTGGGTAAGCTAGAGTGATGAGAAGGCCCAAAAAATGGTTGGCAATCACTGTCACGCCATTCCCCTTGATCGGATTTCCCATTGATCGAACACAAAAAAAAGTATAATTCTTGCCCTTTGTCAGTCCGCATTTGGCCCACAGTCAGAACCAGCGTGGCCGATGCTGATTATGTCATGTTGACCGCTACAGTTTCAGATTATGAATCTGAATCGTGTCATGGCTCTGATGAACATGGGGCGGCGTCGTCCCAGCGAACCTCCAACTCCAGTACATTGAGCGGGTCGCCATTCCAGGACCACCTCAGAAAGAAGGTTGATTGTAATTTAATTTGTTACAAATTGAGTACCGAAGCCGAGGATCAAGGGTTCATGTTATTTAGTTCATTCGTGGTCTCTATGAACAAAAAACTCAATCCCCAATCCATCAATTCCGCAACCCTTGAATGATTCAAAGCTCCCTCAGGAGATGGCGGAATGCTCCAGTCTGGAAATTGCTTCGAGATCAATACGTATGATGTGGCACGTGGTTGTGGCAAAACTTCCTCATTCTTTGCTTAAGGCGTGCTGTTAACCCTTCGTTTTAGCCACTTGTGCGATGCAATGCTACAATACGTAAATTAAGTCAGTCTAGTGAAGTTACAGCTTTAACCACTGATTCCACCCTCCCTACCCTCCCTGGCAGCTCGACGCCCTCTCTCGAAGCTCGTTGTTCCAGGCCTCCCTACTCTCGAGCGGGCACTCTTTGACCACTTCCTGCACAGGGGTCTATACTGTGGAATGCGCAGCTGCGATACTGGAGAAGACTATCAACCAGGCCAATTTGGTGGAAGGTTTATCCGTATATCTCCAGTCCGACAGATGTTTTGAGCTTCGATCGCATTCAGCGCAGAATTTGAAAGGGAACGTGTCTTTATATGTATGTCAAATATGTTCTAGGTTTGCTTCTGGACAGGGCCTGAGTACAGTGCGAGCGGTGGCTGAGAAATGTTTGAGTGGGGTGCGAGGACATTATTATTTACACGCAGTACAATATATGGCATTAAAAACACCGGGGTCTATAATACTGTGGAACATGCAGCAGCGATACTGGAGAAGACTATCAACCAGGCTAGTTTATGTTTAAATCTATATTCAGTCAAAAATAGATGTGTCAATGTTTGATCTGATCGCATTCATCACGGTTTGCTTCTGGTACAGGGGCTGAGTACAGTGCGAGTGGTGGCTGAGTGCTGTGTGAGTGGGGTGCGAGTACATTTATGTACACATAGATAGTAGGTTGTTTGAGATTTTTTAAAAATTGTAGTTGCCTTACTTTAATAATGTTCAGTTTCTACAATTGTATTAAATATAATTTGATCATTGTTTCATTCATTGCTTCGTAAAGTTCACTCGATTACATTGTGCTGAGGAGATCGACCGGCATTGCCGCCAAGCCATTGTTGATAATCACCGATGGCTGAATTCTTGGACAAGTGGTGGGAAGGTTTGGGTCATGCCACACATCCATGGTGATCTGTGTGAGCAAATGGCATCTGAAGACTTGCCGACCCGTGGATCATTCAAACAAAGGGTAGCTCAAGTGACATCATCAAGGCTGAGGACTACACAGTTCTGCTATTCACACGGTGAATTTTGTCGGACACTGAAGCAAAGTGACATTGAATTCAGCGGACTGCCGTGTGAGGAGAACAGTCGGTGCAACACGAAAAGAAAATTCATGGAGGGAAGGTTCTCAAACCTGTACGCAGTTTGGGCCCACAGGCACAATACCCTACAAACGCCGTTGATTATCCTGGAGAATACTCCTGAACCTTGATAGATTGTGAAAACATAAGTTTTTACTATTTTTTATGAGCGGGGAATCGGAAATTGCTAATTGAACGCGTGTGCAACTCAACTCAACCCAGTCTGAGTCACTGAGGACATTCCAGTGAATGAGATTGCTTTTCTCTTTCCGGATTACCAGCTCATCCAGGTGTTCATTGAGCCAGGCGACCTTGGGCATTGCGGAATGCGCAGGAGGAGAACCTTCATTTTCTTGCGTCACAAGCTTCGCTGCGAGTATTTGGTAGATGTGTTTGAGACTATGACACTCATCACCAAAGAGCTCAAGCGTCACATACACACTGACCCAAAAGACTACTTGGTGACCAGTGACAATGTCCAGCAACTGCAGAACTCCGAAATGGCCAGGAAACGCAAGATCCAGCACCAGCCTGAATCTCACCCTACTATTGTAATCATTTTGAGTTGGATTTGAGTTAGGTGCGAGTTGTGTTTGAGAGGATTGCTTTTGAAGATGCAGCTAGACTTTGGAAAGGACTGAGCCCACCAAAACAATGAGAATACACACATTTCGTCTTGATATCAATTTATTTTAGGGACCACTTGAGTGATGTCAACAGTCAACAATAAGAATTTACAAACTAAATTGAAATAATAGTGTCCAACAGTCTGGATGCAGTTTGAATGAAGACTCTGCAGCAGCTGACTTAAGGACTGCAAGAATGTGTGGTACCTGCTGAATGAAAGGGAACGTCAATTAGTTCGACAACTCGATGCCGACTACTACCATCGTTATTCTGAAGATCCCGCTGGCAATCCCAACCTGGTCTACTTTCTTGGAGATCGGTATGAGTTTGCCAAGACGTGGTCTGCAGTATCCAGAGCGATTCCTACTTACCGGAAAAACACGGGCAAGTTCCTGTTCCGAAAGGAGATGGTGTTTCTGTCTCACATTGACAAGTTGGCTAGCCTTGGCTGGCCCATGACTCCTCAGTGTGGAATGGAAATGGGCACTACACCTTTGCCAGCTATGGACCCGGGCAGGGCGCACATTATGGCTGGCAACAGTATGCACTTGACATGTGCAGCTTTGGTCTTGCTTCTGGGCATGGTTTGTTTTGCCAAGACAAATGTCTCCGCCAAAGACTAAAGACGCCTGCCTCAGCCACATCGGCGCATGTCCCTGAGTTGAGTTTTTCAGCTCGACTCTGAAATTAATATAGTCTCGCAAAAAAGAACATGCAAGGCACAATAGACTAGATGTGTGCGTCAGAGTCGCGCTAATGGTCCGCTTCAGTACAGTTGCCATTCTTCAGAAGCAATTCCATTTCACCTTGAATCATGCAGCCTATCGCATAATGACCAACTGTCCGCACAACAGATCAAAAAAAACAGAGTCCCTGGAACTGGAGAACAGTCTGAGTCTGAGTTGTGTTTGAATGTTTTTTTTTGTTTTGGGGGTTGAGCTGAGTTCCGGTGAGTCTTTGTTTGGTGATTGCATTTTAGCGAAGGCGTTGAATTCCGCTGAGCATTTGTGAGCCGATCGTGAGCGAACGGTGAGCTTGATTTGAGTTGTGCAGTAGTTCGACATGTGATATTATTGTAGCAGTGATGTTTGGCGTGCATTGCGTTAAATATGCATATATTTCGTTTCTCAGCCGTTGAACTCAACAATACTTTTGGTAGCAGCAGCAAGCTGCGCCTCAGAAAACCTGCAATTATCACTCGCAATGCTGCAGCCGACCATAGTCAATGGAAGTGTCAGGTCTGGGAATCAGAGGAGGAGGGGTCAGAAGCGTTCAATTGATGAGCCAAACCCTTTTGACTTACCACCGCCTGCTGGGCAAAAGGATGTCCGTGTATATTTCAAGCTGCGACGCCATCTTCAAGGTGATCCGGGACTGGAGCCCCAACGTATTGAGAATCAGTCTGCTTGGGCGGGTGCCGTGCTTCATCTACCACTCGCTGAATCGTCTACAGCAGCCACCACAGTGGCACCAAATCACGATGTCCAAACTGCCGCAGCTCGGACGCCAATTGAAGATCCTGATGTCGCCTTGGGCCGGAGGTTGTGGACGCGAATCTTGGAGTCCGATACTCCCGAACCTGCATCCGGTGATGAAGGCCACTTAGTGCTCCCAGCAGCAGCCAGGGTTGAACCTTCGCCGCTACACCAAATTGCTGTTGAAGAGAGCAGTGACACAGTGCTTTGAATCAATCTTAAAAAGCTGTGAGACATATTTTGCACGGTTTCTAATTACACGTGTTTCCAACTTGTTCCACGTGGAAAAGGTAAGTGTGGTATGCCTAAGCAGTGGGCTGAGGACTTTGAAGAGTTCAAATGATGATCTGATTGCATTTGGCAGTGAGTCAGTGCTGCACTGCTGCCAGCCACGCTTAGGCAGCGTAGACAATTGACCTACAGGCAATAGATTTTGAGGCTGGTTTAGATCTTAGAGTACAGTACACAAGTTGCCCTGCGACAAAATATTGCGCCAGCTGGCATGATATGATCAGGAGATTTGAGCACTCAATTTATGCAGATTAATGTTGGCTCTTCAATTGAGTGTTGTTTGAGTGTCCTGTGAGTGTTTTTTGTGTTTCTTTCTGAAGTATGATATTCTGAGTATTTTGAGTGGCTTTTTGCATTTGAGTGTATGGTGAGCGTCTTTCAAGTGGCTTCTGAGTGATGATTGAATCAAACGCCGTCAAATATTTGATGTTTTGGCATGTGAGTGTATTGTAATGCTCTTTTGAGTGGTGTTGTCCACTGGCTTTGCTCGAGTCGAAGAGATTCCTGTGACATTGTCTATTCGTTTGCTATTGATTAATGTGTGTCCTTCGCATTGAGCTGCTCAGAGACTAACTCTCAACCAATTCGGAAAGAAGCAGTGTCCAAAGCTGCGCATTTTGTGATTTTAGATTCATGGGCAAGGGTGGTGGCAAGGGTGGTCGTAAGCCGAATGAATCTGGTGAAGGCGCCAAGTCACGGCTGCGGAAAGTCATTCCTGGCGATCATTTTGAAAAGAAGACCTCAGCCAGGAATCGTCCTCCCGCCAATCCACCAGGAAATCGTGGAGGCAAAGGCCGTCCGTTGCAGGCTGCAGCTGAGGAGTCATCGCAGTCATTGCGTTCTGATCCTCCGTGGAAGAGGGCACGGGTTGCTCGTAGTGAGCCACAGGAGCACGCTGGGAAAGGGAAAGGGAAAGGGAAAGGAGGCAAAGGGAAACCATATTACAAGAAGGGAGCTGGAAAAGACTTTTCAGACATTCCAGATACAGGTGTAGCGCTGATACGAATTGCCGAGCCAAAGGCGAAAGCTAAGTCCAGGGCGGCTAAGGCCAAGCCAGGTGCAAAGCGTGCAGCCGCATCCACGCCGCGCAGTGCGCTCAAGGTGACGCCAGCAGGAGACGGATATGGCACATTGCCACTGGGTTCCAAACTTTTGGCATCCGTTTTTTTTAATATAATATATATTATATATATATGTGTGTTGTGTTTCATTTTCAAGACGGGACCCGGGACCCAATGACCCCAACAAATTACATATAATATTCACATGTTTGATAATTAGTATATTTAGATGTTGATTGATATTTTCTGCCACTGTGCTAAGGGGCATTGTGGACCCAAAGACTCCAGCTGCAAAGGGGAAGGCGGCTAACTGCGCTGAGACTCCTGGAGAGGCGGATGATCAGGAGCGTACGAGCACTCGCAGCAAGCAGGCCAAGAAAGAGAAGTATTCCAGCTCATATACCACGATTTGGCATTTGCCAGTCACTTGAATGAACACTATGCACACATTTGTGTTTCTATTGGTATTAGACATTTGGTCATTGTGAAGTAGGGTTGAGCCGGTTTTGATATTCTGGTGTTTTTTGAATCGAATCATTCATGCGTGATTCTGATTACAATTGCTCAGACTGTCCAGGTTGGCCACCTCCAGGAGTGGTTGAAGAAGGTGGCGCCCGAGATGTTCACGCTCGTGTATTTGCAGAGGATCGGAGCCAACAGGGATGTCTTGATGGCATACATTCTATTGCTCACCGGACTGCGCCCACAAGATCGTCTCCCTTCGTGTCTCACTGAAATCCAGTCCACGCTCCATTTTCTTAATCATTTTTCAACTCTAATTTATGACCTCATGTTCAACTCATTTCCAACTCAGGTACACCCCATTTTCAACTCAGGTGCAACTCATATTCAACTCACCAGTCATTCAAATACTTGCATTTCGATAAACTTATTCAATGCAATATGCTTGTATATGCTAAATAGTGCTGTCAGACTCACGGACGTGTGCAAAGGTATGATATTGCAGAGTGCTTGGAAGCAATCAAATTGGAACATCAGCGATTGGGGAGCCCTGTGAAGCACTTGTTGGCTTCCCGGCACACTTTTGACCAGATCGTTGAAGTCAGCAAAGGGGTTTTGAAGCAATATGATGAAGAAGGTGCGCCAGAGCCATGGCAGCAAATGATTGCTGTAGGCTATCGCAGTGCCCAAACAGGGCTGAAATCATTGAAAAGAACAAAAAAACAACACCAAATAAACAAAAACTAAACAAAAAACATAATCAACTCAAGAACTCAAATCCAAAACAGACTCAACAGCAAAACTCAAAAAAAAACAACTCAAGACAAACTCAAGAAACACTCAAAACCAAACTCAAGTCTAATTTGAGTCCAATTTGACTCTGATTTGAGTTTGTCCTTCCAAAATACTCAACAAAATTCAGACTCAGATTAGAATCAAACCAAACTCAAACCAGACTCAAGCCAAATGCTATTTACATTGTCTTGCATTTTTCTTTGAGTTATTCCTGGGTCTAATCTGAGTATAATTTGAGTCTCTCATTTGAGTGGCTTGGGAGTCTGAGTTTCTGGTCTTTTTTTTTTGAGTAGGTTGCTGTTTACTATGTTTTTCATCTTGACCCCTTGCTGTCTGGGTACGTGTTTTCTTAAGGCTAATCGAATACATGGTTCATCTAACTATTATGATTTTTAACTTAAGCATTCAAAAGACACTACTATCATACGATTTGCCTATGCCCATCATTGCCATCGCGCTTCAATCCATGGCAACTGACCGAGGAAGATTCGCATGGGATCCTGAGTGAGTTCTATGAATCATTGGACATCACCAAATCGGTCAATGCGAAGACTCAGCATGATGGTGCCTGCCTGTCTTTTAGCTGCAACACCGACGAAGCTGACGACCACCAATGGGAGCTCAATGTTTGGCGGGTCACAACTTCAAATTCGGGCAGGAATCCGTCAATGGTTCGTGGACTTGGTGAGCCTCACTTCCAGCTTCTTGAGACCTGCAAACTACCTCGGCCTGACCCGACTGATCCGCGCCTCGCATGACATGCCATCATTCTTTGATGGTGCTTAAAGGGATTTGGTTTCATTTTATTTTTGATAAGTGAACACACCAATCATCAAATAGTTGGTATTTCTTATCATGTCTTTAAAAGAAAGAACCAAGGACCTGGCAGATCTTTGCCTTGGAGGATGGGACCTGCAAGTGCTTCAGTGGAAACCTTGTGCCGATCGACTGCTTTGACTACGCAGTCTGTCATACCTCCAAAGAGACACTGAAGAAGTCTGAACAGAAGCAGGGTGGGGAGGCGGCTGCAGTTCTGGCTCCGATGATGCCTGGCACGCGCACCAAGCCAGATGGCCCACTACCTCCGACAATTGAAGAAGACGAGGATGAACCAACAGTTGAGTACTATGGCGACGAGGATCTTGGGGAGTGTGGGGAAGAAGAAGCGGCAGAGGAGGATGCAGAGATTGCGATTGGGCCAGGGGGCAATATTGAGCCCACACAGAGCAAGGGTGAAACCGGTGTCACTTGGCAAACCAAGACTAATCAAGAGTCAGTTTGGCTATATTTGGATTTTGTCTAAATACAAGTTGATGATGTGTGATATCTAAACATAATCATGGTGGAATAGGTCTGAGTGGATTTTGAGTGAAGATTAAATTCCAATTGAGATGTTTTTGTGGGGGTGGTCACATTCAAGTTGGGCAATTTTTGACTAACAGTTCAACAGATTTTCATTTGGTTGAGGCCGCTGAAGCCGCCCTTGCTGGGCCTCAGCAGCCAGCAGTGCCAGCAGTGCCCCCAATTATGCGCGACAAT